AAAAAAAAGTGCTACACCAGTGACACACAAATGATAGGAAGAAAACCAGCCTTACTACTGAAAAGGAGAAAGTTTTCGTGGTCTGTAGAGAAAAATCAAACCAGTCACAACATTCTCTTAAGTCAAAGCCTAATCAAAAGCAAGGTTCTAACTCTCTTCAATCCTATGAAGTCTAAGGGAGATAAGGAAGCTACAGAAGAAAAGCTGGAAGCTAGCAGAGGTTGGTTCATGAGGTTGAAGGAAAGAAGCCATCTCCATGACATAAAAAAGTGCAAGGTGAAAAAGAAACAAAAACACATTTCCTACAAGGTATATGAGATAAGGCAAGGGAGAAAAAATATAGGGGAGTGAGACTCCTTTTCTGCCTCATACAAAATAAGAAAAAAAATTGGAAAAAAAAAAAAAAGAAAAAAAAAAAAAAAAAAAGGAAAAAAAAGTGCAAGGTGACACAGCAAGTGCTGACGCAGGGAGTGTAGAAACTCATCCAAAAGATGTAGTTAAGATAATTCATGAAGGTAATGACATTAACAGTTTTTTGTGTTTGACAAAACAGCCTTCTATTGGAAGAAGATGCCATCTAGGACTTGCACAGCTATAGAGGAGAAGTCAGTGCCTGCCCTCAAAGGTTCAAACAGGCTGCCTTTCTTGTTAGGTGGTAATGCAGCTGGTGACTTCCAGTTGAAGCCAACACTCATTTAACATTCCAAAATCCTGGTCCCTTAAAAATTATGTTAAATCTACTCTGCCTGTGTTCTATAACAGTAACAACAAAACCTGGATGAGAGCACATCAATTTACAGCATGGCTTACTGAATATTTTAAGCCCATTGTTGAGACCTACTGCTCAGAAAAAAAAATTCAACATATTAACTGCTCACTGACAATGCACCTAGTTACCTAAGAGCTCTGATGAAAATGTAAATAAAAATGAATATTGTTTCCAGTCTGCTAACCCAACATCCATTCTGCATGCAGCCCATGGATCAAGGAGTAATTTCAACTTTTAAATCTTATTTAAGAAATACATTTGGCCAGGCATGGGGCCAAATCTCAACACTTTGGGAGGCTGAGGTGAGAGGATTACTTGAGGCCAGGAGTTGAGACAAGCCCTAGCAACACAGCAAGAAACCATCTCTACAAAAAAAAAAAAAAAATTAATTGGGTGTAGACACTCGGCAGGGTGAGGAAGGAGGATCACCAGAACCAGGGCAGGGGTTGGGGAGAGTCAAGGTTATAGTGAACTATGACCACTGCACTCCAGCCTTGGCAATAGAACCCCCTCCCTTTTTTTTTTTTTTTTTTTTTTTTTAAAAGGATATCGCTGCCGTAAATACAGATTCCTTTGATGGATCTGGGCAAAGTAAACTGAAAAACTTCTGGAAAGGATTCACCAGTCTAAATGGCATTAAGAACATTCACAATTCATAGGAGGTCAAAATATCAACATGAACAGGACTTTGGAAGAGGTTGATTCCAACAATCATGGATGACTTTGAGAGGTTTAAGAAATCACTGGAGGAAGTAACTGCAGGTGGGGTAAAAACTGCAGGAGAATAGAAGTGGAGGATGACGATGTGACTGAATGGCTGCAATCTCATGCTCAAATGTTAAAAGTAGAGGAGTTGCTTCTTGTGGATGAGCAAAGAAACTGATTTCTTGAGATGGAATCTACTCCTGGTGAAGATTCTGTGAACATTGTTGACATGACAACAAAGGATTTAGAATACTACATAAACTTAGTAGATAAAGCTTGGGCAAAGTTTGAGAAGACTGACTCCAGTTCTGAAAGAAGTTCTACTGTGGGTAAAATACTATCAAACAGCAACACATGCTACAGAGAAAGTTTTTGTAAACAGGATCGTCAATTGATGCAGCAACTTCATTGCTGTCACATTTTAGGAAATTGCCACAGCACCCATCACCCTGATCAGTCAGTAGCCATAAATCAAGACCTTCCACCAACAAAAAGATGACGACTCAGTGAGGATTCAGATGATCGTTGCACTTTCTAGCAAATGTGTTTTTTAATTAAGTTATGTGCTTTTTATTTTTAAAGATATAATGCTTCTGCACACACAATAGACTATGGAATAATGTAAATGTAACTTTAATATGCACCAAGAAACCAGTTTGTGACTCATCTCACTGCAGTGGTCTGGAACTGACCAAAGCCTGTACTTACTAGCAGTTTAGCTTGCTCTGGAAGAGTGATCTGTTCCCTTTTTCCATCTGGATACCGCAACATCAGCTGTGCTTTTGGTCCTAAAGAAAGGGTTTAAAAAAAACAAAACAAAACAGGACATAAAGTTTAAGACAGACAATTAGTTTAAATAAATATGTAAATAAATAAAGCCATTCAGCAATTATTCAATTTTTTGTTTTTTTCCCACAGAGACAAAGTTTCACAGTGCTGCCCAGGCTGGCCTCAAGAGCCTCTCCTGCCACAGCCTCCCCAGTAGCTGGGACTACAGGATCACACCACTGGACCCAGCTCAATGTCCAAGGTGTTTTTTTTTTTTTTTTTTATTTTTTTGAGACAGAGTCTTGCTCTGTCCCCCAGGCTGGAGTGCAGTGGCGCCATCTTAGCTCACTCCAACCTCCGCCTCCTTGGTTCAAGACACTCTCCTGCTTCAGCCTGCCGAGTACCTGGGACTACGGGCATGTGCTGCCACACCTGGCTAAGTTTTGTTATTTTTAGTAGAGACAGGATTTTGCCATGTTGGCCAGGCTGGTTTGAACTCCTAACCTCAGTGATCCACCATGCCCGGCCCCAATATCCAAGTTTTAGGTAAAGTATGTGTATAAAATGTAACTTACCATTTACATCTATGCCCTCCACTACTCCATCTGACTTTTCAGGTGACATCTCCAGTATTTCTGAATCCACGGCTGGCAATCCTTGGTGGTTTGTGGCTGTTCCAGGGTCAGTTCTGGCTGGGGGCTCGGTCAGTGGCCTTCTATTCTCCTCTTTTCTATGCCCCAAATCTTTGTGGGGAGACTTTCTGGACTTGGCAAGATTCTCTACCTCCTCTTCTTCATCAGAACCACAAACAGATATGAACTCTTCACTGCCAGAAAAAAGTTCAGATTCAGATTCTTCATCCGAGCGGCTCTCCTGTTTTGTCTGTGTTGAATCAAAATGTGTTTCTTGTAAGGAGGCTCTGATGGCAGCTTCTAGCTGGCTGTCTTCACTTGCATCTATAAGGCTCTCCTGTTAGACGGAGTCATAAAACACAGGGAGAAGAGCAAGTTAAACCAAAAAGCAGGCCAAACAGAAGAAATACAACAGCCTGTCATTCATTATTATGTTCTGCTGACTATGTCCCTTCTACTTTAAGTGCAAGGACTTTGTCTTACACAGTCAAATTGGAATGAAGATATAGACACACACACACACACACACACACACACACAAACACACATATATTTTTAAGAGACAGGTTCTCACTATGTTGCCAAGGCTGGTCTTGAACTTTTGGGCTCAAGTAACCATAGGCATTTTTAAAATCATCAAAATGAAAATGAACAAAATCAAGAAAAGTTTATCTATTACCTGCCTAGAGAAAGATAAGAATTAAAGCTTTAAATATAAAGTCAAAACACCATTCTTTAAAATTACTAAAACAGAGACAAATGTTTACTTTGTTCACCAATGTATTCTTCAACTAGTAATTCCATTAATTAAAATGAAGGTTTTCATTATGACAATGAGAAATGCAAACATCTACAGTTCTTCCCTTGGTAAAGTTCTAATGCCACAGATTTAACTAAACTTAATGAACCACAATATATGTTGTTTGAGTGGAACTTAGCTCCTGGCTCAAATATACTATAGAGGAAAAAAACTCTAAGATAATCTAAAGTTGAACACTGGATATTTCATAATATTACAGAATTACTGCTAATTTTTAAGGGTATAACAATGACACTGTGATAGTATTTTTAAAAACAAAAAGGGCCTTTATCTTTTAAATATATATGCCAGAGTATTAATTAATGAAACAATGAATTCTGAGATTTGCTTCAAAATAATTCGAACATGATGGGATACAGAGGAAAGAAGACTGGCCATCTGTTGATAATTACCAAAATTAGCTAATGAATACAAAGAGGCTCAATATACTACTTCAACTTTTGAATACGCTTAAAATTTTTCACCACAAATAGGTAAAAAAAGCAAAAACCAAAAAACAACCCATGTGGACTGCTAATACAAAACTAAGGAAACCACATTTTGGCTTTTACTATCAAGCAATCATGTAGAAAAAATTAAATGGAAAAACATTTTTTTTTGAGACAGGTTCAACTCTTTTGCCCAGGCTGAAGTGCAGTAGTGCAGTGGTACGATCTCAGAGAACTACCACCTCCACCTGCCAGGCTCAAGCAATCCCCCGCCTCAGCCTCCCAGGCAACTGGGACTGCAGGCACACACCACCACACCTGGCCAAAGGAAAATTTTTAGATATACTTCAGGCTAATTCACCACCTCTAAAAAGCAAGCAGATGTATCTACGTGACATACAATGGCTTAGGTGGATAGTAAATTTACAACAACGACATTGTAAAATAGCATGTAGCCATGTAGCTTGATTTTTTAAATTGTGGCCATGGTGCACTGTCAGGCTCCTACTGAATTTCTTTCTCCTCTGATTTCCTTACTTATAGAACCCTAAGTAAGTTTAGAGGACATGTTCAACTAAAAAACTCATCTTACTAATTTCTCTTGTAGCCAGAAAATACTATTGAGCAATAGCAGTACTTACCCCAAAATTATAGAACTAAATACATATATTATAGGAGAGAAAGGTATCAAATTAATGACCTAAGCTTCCCCACCTTAAAAAAAGAGTATACATCCAGGAAAAGAAAATAAAATTAAGTACAAAGAAAACATAAATTAATAAATGACCTGGAAAACAAATGCCATAGAGGAAAAAAAAAAAAAAAAAAAAAAAACCAAAATCCAAAAGTAGGTTTCTTTTCTTTTTTTTTTTTTTTTTAAAGAGACAGAGTCTCACTGTTGCCCAAAGACTGGAGTGCAGTGACTACTCACAGGCACGATCACAGCACACTACATTCCTGAACTCCTGGGCTCAAGTGATACTCCTGCCCAGCAGCTGGGACTACAGGCACAGGCCACAGCCCAGATGGTTTTTTAAGATCAATAAAACTACTAAGCCTCTAGCCAGACTGTCAGGGGAAAAAAAGGTAAGTCACAATTACTAATAACAGAATCAAGTGAGGGGCAAGTACAGTTTCTACAGTCATTAATGGCATAATGAGGGACGCTGTCAATATAGTAAAATGAATAAATCCCTAGAAAGATACAACCTGCTAAAGCTTATCCAAGAAGAAAGAGATAACCAAGTAGTCATATATCTACCAATATGACTGATTTTATAGTTTAAAACTTGCCACCAAAAAAACTCTAGGCCCATGTAGCTTCACTGGTAAATGTCATCAAACATTAAGGAAGAAATGGTAAGAATTCTACAGAAACTACTGCAGAAAACAGAAGAGGAAGAAATACTTCTCAATTCATTGTGAAGTCAGCATTAAGCTGATAGCAAAAGCAGAAAACAACACGATAAGGCGTAAGAAAAATTAATTTTAAAAAAGTGGGTGGAGGGGCACTAAAAAACCTACAAATCAAGCAGGAGAACTGCTTAAGGCCAGTTCAAGATCATCCTGGCCAGCAAGATTTCTGTAGTATCCCTTAGGGCTTTTCCTTAAATAAGGGGCTGTTCCTCCTATCTTCTAAAACTGTTTTTAGGCTGGGCAAGGTGTTTCATGCTTAGAGTCCCACACTTTGGGAGGCCAAGGCGAGAGAATTGCTTGAGCTTAGGAGTTTGAGACCAGACAGCAACATAGCAAGACCCTGTCTCCACAAAAAATAAAAAAAATTAGCTAGGCCTGATGATGTACACCTGCAGTCCTAGCTACTCAGGAGGCTGAAGCAAGAAGATCGACTAAGCCCAGGAGGTCAGGGCTAACAAGTTTCTTGTTTTCCTTTTAATGTTCTCTCAAGGCTGCAAGGACTAGAGTGAGTTATTATCAGGCCACTGCAGTCCCGCCTGGGCTAGAGTGTGAAACCAGGTCTCAAAAAATAAAATAAAATTAAATTAAATTAAATTAAATCAAAATTTTACCAGGTGTGGTGCTCATGCCCAGAATCTCAACACTTTGGGAGGCTCAGAAAGGAGGATTGTTTGAGACTAGCGTGGACAACATATGGAGACCTCTGTCTACAAAATTTTAAAAACTTAGCTGGGCATGGTGATTCACGCCTGTGGTCCCAGCTACACAGGAGGCGGAGGTGGAAGGACAGCTTGAGCCCAAGAGGTGAAGGCTGTAGTGAGCCATGATCATACCACTGCACTGTGGCCTGAGCAATGGAACAAGATCCTGTCTAAGGAAATACAGGCCGGGCGCGGTGGCTCACGCCTGTAATCTCAGCACTTTAGGAGGCCCAGGAGGGCGGATCACCTGAGGTCGGGAGTTCAAGGCCATTCTGGCCAACATGGTGAAACCTTGTCTCTACTAAAAATACAAAAACTAGCTGGGCGTGGTGGCACATGCCTGTAATCCCAGCTACTTAGGAGGCTGAGGCAAGAGAGTTGCTTGAATCCGGGAGGCAGAGGTTGCAGTGAGCAGAGATTGTACCACTGTCCCCTAGCCTTGGCAACAGAACGAGACTCCAGCTCAAAAAAAAAAAACAACAAAACCAAACTATTTTTATCCTTACTGCTATCAAGCCCAAATAACCATGAAAACCAATGTGAGACTGCTGTTATCTTTGGAGTTTAGTCTCTTATTTGCAACTAATCTTGATACTAATTCTCAAACAGGTCTGCCTAGTAATAGCATATTCTACAAATTAAGTATAGAAATAAATTCTAGGAGGGCCAGAGAGCCAGGCCCTAAAGCTGCATTCACCAATAACAATGCTCAACTATGCCATGAGAGTTGTTCTAGCAAAAACAAAAAACACTACCTCTAGCTGGCTGTGGTGGCATGTACCTGTAGTCCTAGCTACTCTGGCAGTTGAGGTGAGAGGACTGCTTCAGCCCAGGAGTTCTAGGACAGCCTGGGCAAAATAGCAAGACCCCATCTCCAAAACAAAACAAAACACACAAAACATCTGCCACTTTCACTGCAATTTAGACCTGGATATCAGAAGCCCTCCCAGAGCTGTCCCTAAGGAAGCAGGCACCTTGACCACTAGGCTTGCCAGATCAGTCCTCCTGCTCAACATATTCACATTGCTTCCTGCAAATCCAGATCATAAGGCATTTGTCTGCACTCTAGCTGCAAGACAGACCGGGAGGAGTGTGAGTATCACGATTTTTCACTGAGAAGATGGAACTCTCATATGGGAAATTATCAAAATATAAGGAAGATATCGGGCCGGGCGCGGTGGCTCAGGCCTGTAATCCCAGCACTTTGGGAGGCCGAGGCGGGTGGATCACGAGGTCAAGAGATCGAGACCATCCCGGTCAACATGATGAAACCTCGTCTCTACTAAAAATACAAAAAATTAGCTGGGCATCGTAGTGCATGCCTATAATCCCAGCTACTCAGGAGGCTGAGGCGGGAGAATTGCCTGAACCCAGGAGGCGGAGGTTGCGGTGAGCCGAGATCGCGCCATTGCACTGCAGCCTGGGTAACAAGAGCGAAACTCAGTCT